GTCATTAGACATTTTTTCTATGTTAAATAATCATTTGACCAATTGACATTCATTGTTCTTTCTTAATCATTATCTATTAATATCATTCTCATATATACATATGTGTGTGTGTTCGTGTGTGTATGTGTGTTATCTACGAAGATGCTAGAGGGATACTTAATCCTGACATAGATAAAGTTGAATCGAAATTGAACGCGAAATTTTCATTCTATAATGTAATTAATATTTCACTACTGAAGTAAGTCCATTGACAACGAAAGATATGCTGAAATGTAAATTTCTGATGAATCTAATAAATACTTTACTTTAATAGCTAACGGAATTATTAACTATATATATATATATATATATATATATATATATATATATATATATATATATATATATAAAAATTGATTTTCCCGTCTGTTTTTGACGCATATGACAACTTAACCAATTGATTCAGTTATGAATTTTGTGCGATAATCTTAATTAACACTTAAGACTCGCTAGTGATTTACAAAGGAGGCCGCATATGGAGCAAGATTGTGGGATGAGATCACTGTTAGATTGTCTGACATTTTAGATCTTATTCTCGCTCATTGAAGACGATACAGACGAGCAGATTGAAAACTGAAAACTCCACTAAAACACTATTCTTTCCAAGGCTAAGCGCTCGAGGGTGTTATGAGATATATTGACGGCTGAAAGTTGCTCTTCAGCTTGTCTTTGTATCTAAGTCATGGGCGTCATACATATCTGTAGCCCTGATCTAATCGGCTGTACGTAGGATCTTGGGTATCCTGTCATCAGACATTCTCAAGACATGACCAGTCCGCCGTAACTGAAACTGTATGAGTAAAGTCTCGATTCTTCCAATATTAGACCTGTCTAACAGGTCTACGTTAGTTGAAGACTAACTCCACAGGTGGCACGCAGACAGTTCTTATGGAAAACATCTAGCTGGCGTATATGGTACTCGTATGGAATCCACGACTCTGAGCCGTACAAAAGAATGGCAACGACAACAGCCCTGTAAACCCGAATTTTCGTATCCACAACCGATATTGAAGTTTGCCGAAAGCACTGGTAGCCTTAGCAATCCAATGCATGTAGTTGACTTTGCTGCCAAGATAGGTGAAAGACTTTACATAGTTCAGGGCTTTGTCTTCTACTTTCAATGGTCTCTCTGGAAATTTGTAGAATGGTGTTTTTTGTTTCTCACCACAGAATTGCTTTGGAGTAGGACAAGGTTGGTGCACAACTTCAGTTTTCTTTATGCTATGTTTAAGACGAAAAGCTTTACATGCAGCAGAGAAATGATTTATTAGATGTTGGGCCTCCTCAAAGGATGTCGCAAAAAAAGCATCATTTACAGCAAACAACAAATTACGAATAATTTGTGTACGAATGTGGGTCTTGGCTTTGAAGCGCTGATGATTGAAGAGACCACCAGTTGTTCGAAACTGAAACTTGGTGCCGCTCTCTGTGTCTGAGAGTGCATATTTCAGCATCACCGAGAAGAAAAGGGCAAAAAGATAGGGGTCATGCTTGGTGCCGTTCATGATATCAAAGAATCCTGACATCATACCTTCAGACACGAGATGATCACCTTTATAATGTTTTCTGAGATGCCGAGTTTCCTCAAGATTGACAAAGAGCCTCTCAATTCACAGTGTCAAAAGCCTTCGTCAAGTCCAGAAACACCATGTACAACTCCTGGTTTTTCTCACGAACCTTCTCTGCATCTTGACGAAGAGAAAATATCATGTCAATGGTGCTACGACCCGACCGCGCTATTTTTAGTGGGTAACCTTCTTTGAGTACACATTCTGTTTATTTATTAAACAATATATTTATTTATTTTCGTCTACTGGCCTGAATATTCGTGAAATCTTATTAAAGAAATATATAAGCTCCTCCGCCGGATTCGAAGATGCGTCCCGTTGTGGAGAGGGAACTGTCGTTGGATTTAACGTGCTCGAACCGACTGAGCTGCAGAGAACCTAATCGATCAGACAAGGTTGAATAGTGCTTTTAAGCGAAATTCCTCTCGTCATAAAGACACTACACAACCACTATATATATATATATATATATATATATATATATATATATATATATAAAGTAAAAATGAAAAAAGTTCTTCATCCTTTAGGACATCATCAGACTAAAATGATGTTTAAGTTGATGCGACCACACATGTGCATGAAGGTGAAGGAATACTAAGAATTTTGCATTTAAATTTTATTTTTTTAATATATGTTTTTTTTATATATTTTGATTCGTTGGGTTTCTCAAGAAGATCCACATTTCTATTTGGAATTATTTTACAAGCCTTTTTCTTTGCGTTGAATATGGTGTAATTTTGTATTGGATTAGCTTAATGTAAATACTGAGGGCTCCAAATTTGAAGAACCGATGATTACTCTGAATTTTTTATTTTGTTGTTATGGTGAGAATAGAAATTTATGAGATTATTTCTATTTGTTGATTTTCGATGGACACTTAGCTTTAGGCTATTGTCACTGCAATGTAACATGATATCCAGGAAAGGTAATGTTTGTTTCCGTTTCATAAGTAAATTCTATCGTTTGTTCGAATTTGTTTAGTTTATCTACAAGGTCAGGTACAATAGTTTTTCGGCAATATATTGATTGATTATATCTATCTATCTATCTATCTATCATATATATATATATATATATATATATATATGTGTGTGTGTGTGTGTGTGTGTGTGTGTGTGTGTGTGTGTGTGTGTCTGTGTGTGTGAATCTATGTAGGTTTGTATTTGTGCACTAAGGCAGTATTTGTTTATTCAAATATATCTAATTAAATAGTATAAATGTTCTGTGTTTATTGAGTTTATGCATCTTCCTCTCCAAATTACGAACTGCCATTCGCAATAACTGATACCAACTCAAAACTCAACAATTTATGTGAAGGAAACATACTTGCCCAACAACAAGGAATAAGTTCTCAATCTAGTCATATAAAGATATATATGTTTAGGATGCAATAATCATTGATCTAGATATTTGTTCACATTGACGTACCTTTAATTATATAATTCTACGTATATCCGTAGGTATTATTAACACCTGTCATCTCAGCTATAATAGGGAATGTTTACTTAAATATAAATTAGCAATAGTAAGATGCTTCCGTAAGAGATCGCCAGTTATTCCAGAAAGAATTTACTAACATAAAACAAACGATATTTAACAATGGCTTTACAAACTACTTTATAGACAGATAAAAAATTGTTTCTTTCAAAACTAAGCATCAATAACATATTTCACAGAGACTGTGGAGATTATCCACATCTAATCTGCTAAGACTTGGCACTTTTGAGACCTATAAAAGGAAGGAATTAAGCTACCTTTTTACACTCTAGAATGCATTAGGCACGTGATGCGTCCTGTCACCTCCATGGAAATTGCTTTAGCCCCCGACTTTTAGCTGGCTGCTTAATTATATGTCCAGTTACATACACATTTTCTAACAAAGAGTATATGTTTCTTCTTTTTCTGCTACCTCTGTACACAAGTATTTTTCAGTCACAATGGACATATTTAAAAATGAAGAATATGTCTACTTTCAGCAACTAGTATTTTGTTGATAACAGCACTTACACTACTTATTTTATTAGTAATAAATACTTATAATAAATATTTAAATATTTAAAAAATAATTGTTCTTGAAAATAGATAACAGTTTCACTAAAAGCGTTCGAAACAAACAAATTAATTATTTTTACACGCATTAAGTTAAAAAAATGGGCACCTCTGAATGGTGCAATGGTTAGCAAGCTTCACTTGCTGGAACAATTACGGCTGAGTAATGAGTTACTAGGTGCTCCTTACTTACAACGTTGTGCCACATCTAAGATATGCTTAGAAAGTCACCATTAAGTTCAGAAAAGTATACACTTGCCCGTATACAAGAAAAACATAATAAAACTAAATCAAAATTACCTGATCAGACTTGTTCAACGAAACATGCATTAAAGATGGATTGCTAGTAAATTGCACAACTAATTAATTATTAGAAATCCTCTATATGCTCGCACTATTCATCTTAATAAAGAACCTTTTTGAAGAAGTCTTTGTAAAAGACACACTTTTCTCGATACGCGAGAGAAAGTGACTAAAGTGACATTATTGAATGTGAAGATGGTAAGTGTTTCTTTCTATTTGCCTTGAAAGTAGCCAAGAAATATCTCCTCGGAGAGGTCGTCTCATTAAGCAGAGAAACAGCCCAAAGCTGTAAAAGCTGATAAGACTTTTAATATTTACCATCCTTTAGCACAATGCCAAATGCGCGTCAGATGTTTGTGTTGCATTAAGCCTCCTAACTGGGAAGATATACCTGCCAAGAAAAATAGCATTCGAAACCCTGGCTTTTTAATTACTACCGGTCACCAATTACTGCCTCTAGAAGGAAATAGGCAACTATCTAAGCAACGTGTCATGTCCAGAGAATGACTTTTTCTGCCTATGCCATTCGGAAACAGTGCCAAAACTTTTCCAAGTTGGATAAATATAATTACTTCTAGCCCTTTAGAGTTAGATGCCGTTTATTTTATATATTTGAAATCTTAAATCTATGCGTGAAGCCTCATTGTCTTTAACTCAGTGGAGATTAGCTGATAGATAGATAGATAGATAGATAGATAGATAATCAACGTAGCTATTTTTGCATATATACAACTACTGATTCCTATAGAAGCTGAAAAAATATGCTTAAATCCCATCAATAATGAGATATATGCAAACTATTTTTATAGCTAAACTTCTTCAATATTATTCTTACCATTTTAGGATATTTAGGAATATTTTACTATGAGGACACTTAAAGGATATGAACAATGATTCCTGGTATTGTGCAAGACAAGTTTTTACCATTTCGCTCGGATTCGCTACACGGATTTGTGTTAGCCGTAAACGGGATTAACTAAGTTATTCTAATTTAAAGCAATCGATAAGTTTTAACTTCTTAGTCGACGTTAATTTCAGATGAAGTATCTATCTATCTATCTATCTATCTATCTGATCGTCCTCAAACAAAAAATCACTTATGACCACATATTTCTAACTATTTTTGTCATTCATAGCTCTACTGAGTTCTTCCTTTCTGTTTCCATGTATCAGTTGATTGATGGCTTTAATTTATCTCCCGAGCCTACGGGCTCCGAATCACCCCGCAGAAAAAACGGCCTTGTGCCACATCCTACCTTGCGAAGAGGTTAGTAAATATTAGTCTGTTGGAGTCAGTCGAGTCGAATTTCTAAAGGCGTCACGGCGAGTAGCCTAAGCATAACATAATATGATAACCGCTATGTGCAGTTACCGTTCTGAGGGCAGAAATTGGTTTTATTTGATCAACTAAGCAAGTAATTAAAGAGCCTTCAACAAAACTATTGCTATTTATAAAAAAAAAAAATAAGGAAATATCATGCTGGAAACGAATAACAAGTCAATTATCATTGAATTTTTAAAAGATGAATATGCAATTTCTTCGTTCAGCAAGAGCCTCTAAACTGATCAAGATAGAAAATTTTATAAATATAAATAATAAAAATGTATTTGATGTCACAATTTTAATTAATTTTCACTATTTTGTGCGGACAAACTCCAAATTTGAACTCTATGTATTAGTTTAATAGAGGTGAATATAAAATTATAGATGTGGCATGGATATTTTAGCATCAATTGATAATATTGTGTTTGCAACTATTCAACCTTGAAAATGTACAGATTGTGTAATGGTCAGTGGCTCGGAATAAAAAAAAATCGGCGGGTAGAGTTAGGATCCATTCTATTCATTTTCTGACAAATATCCTTTGGAAAAGTATAAATCTATCTATGCCCCCCAGTAATGGGTTAAATAACAGCGTAGATGGGCTCTTAATCCAAAAATATACATAACCCTGGCGAATCACATACGACACAGTTTTAAGACAGATTATGGAATTCACAATTTATTGCAGCTCGAGTTTGCGGATCCTATAATGACTTCATTCAATAGGGTAGGTAGATGAGTTATAATTACAATGAACTCTTATTTGTTGATTGATTTGATTCAGTATATTTAAACATAAAAGCGCTAACCCTTCAATTGACAGTGTTCCTAAGATTTCTGTAAGCTAAGCTAATTTCCTAACAAACTGTGTTGTTCCTCGCCATAACAACCGGTGTAGTGCCTGTAGTTCAATCTCGAATTGACTATCTTCACACTCGTATAGTCATAATGAGGAGTGGGCGTCTTGCAACCTAAGACAGTTTAAAGTTGTTCATTTTCTTTCTTTTATTATCGAATCAAACAACAAAATGAAATTTTCTTTCCTATTCTCAACACAAATGTACATACGTATTTTATTCGTAGTCTTTACATAAGAAATGTCTATCAGAGTTGGGATTAAGCACAATGGAAAAAATGTAAGATCATTTGAGGAACTTTCTCAAGTATCGATCTTGCAATATTACATCTGGCATTTTTATTCCTGTCAAAGATGATAGAAAATCTCATTTCCTTTTCCCTGTTTGTATTGATTCAAGAGTATATAGACATGCACTAACTGGACATAAAAAATTAATGTTACTTCATATATATATATATATATGTGTGTGTGTGTGTGTGTGTGTGTGTGTGTGTATGTGTGTCTGTGTGTCTGTGAACGATACAATGATTCTTTTCCCACATTATACCTGTCGGCAGTGTTTATTTTACTTTTATATCGTTAATGTGAACGAACTGGTTTCGTAATATTAAATGTTTTTTCAGTCCTACACTCATTTCACTGGTTAGCACAGAAAATTCAAATTTGTTGTGAACGTAATTTAAGTTTTTTTTTCTTTTGCATTTGTGAAACAATTTTCAATTTATAAAACCAAAAGAACTATCATTTCGTAGACGAGCAGAAAAGAAACACAAATACAAAAAAAAAAAAATTAGAAAATACTAACACTGAAAATGCTACCGTCCTGTGTTATTGAAGATTACTACCTTCATTTACAAAAAAAAAAAAAAAAAAAAAATGAAACGTTTTCTAAATTGAAGGAATGACAATCAATGAATTATTTCTTAAACCTAAAAAAACATTCATCATAGAGAATATTTGTAATCATGACAATAACACCTTCGACTATTACTAGCTCCAATAGAATTGGCAGTAAGAATAATTATGACTTCTACAAGACATTGTACAATCTTCTAGTTATTAACGTAAATTTACTCTTGGCAACCATGTTAACGATGTCTCTTCAGTAATTCAGATTTTTTTATTCCTTGAAATATTCGTATCCCTGTTTTTCTTCACGTTATAATTTCTCGTTGTAAAGATGTCTAATTCTCTAAAACGTTCAGCAATTTCTATTATATCTTTTAACTGCCATAACTACATTTTGTATTACTCAGATTGTGTACTCTAATTTTTTTTTTTTTTTTTTTTTTTTTTGGTAGAAGGATTGATGTAAGTTTTAATACCGGCGAATTCTCTTCCTCTATTTTATCTTTTTACTCATAGCCTATCAACGTCATTTTTCCGGGTGCACTGTCAGCAAATTTCACATTTTGTTTTCGTTTTGTTTTTAGTTGTTGTTTGTTTGTTTTTGCATCCGAACATCTCAACTCTTTCATTGTCCAGTTTAGAAAGAATTCTGAAATGTATGTGTTATTTATTTATTTATTTTAATCATATTTCTGTTAACACGTTAAGGAAAGTCTAGTTATTTTAAATATCGAGAGAACTGGTTGCGCAAACTAGTTGTAACTTTGCAATGTATCAGCGAGGAGATTAAGGTGTATGTGTAAATATAGATTGTCCCTCGGATTTATTCATTTGGTAGCGAGGCTCCATTGAGCTTGAGTTTTGTTTTCGACGTATTCACAATAACCGAGTGAGATGATTCTTCATTTCTCTTACAAACCTGTTTTGGCAAAAAATCGCATCTCCTTAGTAAGTCAGCCATTTACAGTCTGCAGGAACCTCCTTGCGACTTCTGAGCTTTCCAAAAATTCAAATTGCTGCTGAAAGTTCTTGGACGAGATTAAGGAGGAAGCAAACGGATGATAAAGACAACCCCGAAAGAGAAATTTGTAAAGGGAAAGTGAAAGGGACATTAAAATTAATTCTTGAGGTTAGGAAGTTCTTAAAAGGACAAAGGTAACATTGCTCAGGTGGGCTATTTGTTCATTGATATTAAATGTTTAGATATTTTCCAGACTGACTACATTATTTATTCATAAATTTTCTTGGACTTTGTTTGCCGACTTTTTTCTTCATTTTATTGTTTGCTTGTGTCCGTTTTCAGCAGTGCAAGATAAATATAAGTGTTTTAACAGAGGACCGAAAAAGCGAGACTGAAATTCGAAGATGCGCTGGGATAACGAAAGTGCCTTCCAAAAGTTAAGTAAACTATTAAGAAACAGGAAAATTTTGACAGAAAGAAAGAAACTGTTATGCAATTTCAGTGAAACCTGCACATTTTCCTCAAAGGTGAAAGAGAGATTGAAGCAACAGAAATCTGGTTCTACAGAAGGATGCTGAGAATACTTAATATGTGAGCAACGACGAAGTTTTAAAGAAAATAGAAACAAAATGGACATTTATACTCAACATCAAAGAGAGAAATTTCTTGAGCACATAATGAGGAAAGAGAACTTGGAAAAATTTACTCACAGGACATATTGAAAGCAAGATGGACAGAGAAAAACAATACATAAACTACTTAGTGAATTGATTAAATGGTTGGTAGAACAGGATTTAGCAGAAATAACAAAAAGATGAAATTTACTAAGAGCTACATAGGAGAAGAAGTTGTGGTGAACTTTGATCGACTATGTGATGTAGGGATATGGTTAGTAGAAGAGAAAAAAAACTGAAAATAAAAGTGAGTTATGTTACGTGAGTTCGCAATCTACCACCAGTGGAAATGATTATTAATTCAGCGATAATATGCATCTTTCTCAGTGTCATCCCTGCCGTCAGAACCATCTTAGTCATTTCTCGAATTTTCTCTATCTTCCAATCTTGATTCTATTGCTAAACGTATGATTTGAAACATTCTTCCTGCAAAGGAAACGCCCCGGCCAACTTTATGTTTCATAATTTGGTCTACTAACAGAAGAGGTTCTAGAATTTTTCCAACATTTCACCTTCTTCACTTTGCCTGCCATATCGACGACCCGGTCATTTTTCATTTTCTTACTGTCATATCCGGTCTTCTCACTTGGATGGAGCTAGACGGTTTGGTTATCAAAGTCCCAAACTACCTGATGTTTAATTTCCTGATCAACCACTAGCATTTGCCGGTATCAAGTTATGGCTTTTTATATTATGTTATGCCTATATTTGTGTTCATTTTGAATTCGTTTTCGGCATTCACTTTCGGTGTGCTTAATCGTTGTTATTTACTTGATACGTGTTTACAGATGGCATATGATCTTTTTACAAGAGATCAATTAACAGCAAGTCTACTCATTAACTAGTGCTCTCTTCTTAATATAATCGTTGATTTCAAAGATAATTTCAGATTCAGCAAACTTGTCTGCCAATGGACTTCGCTTAACACTGCTTGGTACCGTTGCTATCAACTGTATAAAAGGAAAGGTCTCTCTCTCGCTCTCTCTCGCTCTCTGTCACTCTCTCTCTCTCTCTTTCTCTCTCTCTCTTTCTCTCTCTCTCTCTCTCTCTCCATCTAGAGAAGTTTCTTTGCCTTGGCAGACCAATTGGAAAAAGGAAAGGTCTTTCTCTCTGTATCTCTTTTCCTCTTTCTTTTTCTCTCTTCACTCTCTCTACTTTCTTTCTCTGTCTCTCTCTCTCTGTGGGGAAATTGCCCTGGCAAACGAATTGCTTGATTTCATCAAACAACGAGGTACACATACTCACACACGCTATCGCTAATTTCATAGATGCTTTATCTTTTCTCTTTTTTAGCTGTCTGTATAAGCATAAATGTAATTTACTCTTTCTCTATTGTATCCTTTATATGAATAAAAACTACGTAATATTTTCAATTCGCTTATTTTGAAAGTCTTCACCGTCATCCACACGCAGTAACTTCCTCCCACTGCAAATTGGTGACCCCGATGTGACTGCGAATTTATCACTTCTGTTTAGATGTTCAAGTCACATTCCCATGGATGAACGGAGGTGGGTTCATGATGTTTGTATTTGAACGCCCAGATTTAAATTTCTGGCACGCAACAAACTCAATTACTCCTTTGACATCCAGTTTTCCCGTTATTTTCCTCAAGGCTTTTCGAGGCTATTCTGAGGGCAAGGGATTTTTATTATTACTTAGTAGAAAAAAAACACAAATATTAGTTTTCCCTTTAAAACAGTTAAGTATTTTTATCGTTTTTGAATTGCTCAACTTATTTTTATTAACTGGGTAAGATATGATATTATTAAAAAATTGAACCAAGATACGTGTGGAAACTAGTGACAAAAGGAAATTTACTAGAAAGTAAAGAATATCTTTCATACACACACAACATATATAAGGAAACTCAGCATTGCATCGAGCCAATTATATTAAATTATAAATCAAGTCATTTTTTTACAAAATTTACTTTCTTTAATCTACACATTCTTAACAATACCTCTGTTACAATAATGGCCAACGCTGCCGCTACTACTAATACTATTATTCACAATAGTTTCCTGGCTTGTTTTAGATGAACGTCTGATAAGAAAAATCTGTTATTTTCTATTCATATATATCGAAAGGCATTTTATACTGATTTCGTATTCCAGTATTAAAAAATGAAAGAGATTAATGATTTATGATTCCTTATGAGAATTTATGACCTTCATTAAAAGGAAACTGAAAAGATTAAACGTTATAAAACATTTCTTCTATGATCTTCGTTCCTTTTAGAATTTGAGCAATAATAGCACTCCACAAACCCCGTTCTTTCTAACGTTTCGTAAATTTTATCTTTTCTCTATCTTTCCTAATCTCTATCTTGCGAACCATTTACACAAGTTCGTTAGGTAGGTTATTCGCTGTTTTCATGTCCCTTTTAACATGTCTCGTGAGTGTCAAATTTTCTACGCCCTCTTTCTTCATGGTGTGACTGAGAAATTTCAAATGTATCTTTCTGATTTTATGTATAAGTGTGGTTTCATTTCCATTTTCACTAAAATCATTGAAGTTCCTAACATTTTGTCGCTGGCATTCTCAGAATCCTTCTGTTGAATCACATGTCCGTTACCCCAAGTCTCTTCTTCATCTATGATAAGATTGCCCAGCATTCACTGCCATATAGAAGGAGTGATATTACATAACAATTCAGTATTTTTTGTTTTGTTTCTAATGAGATTTTTCCTGTTTCTTAAACCACTGAAAAGTTTAAATACTAAGAAAAGAAAAAGAAACTTATTTCAAATATTTTCTTTCTTCTCGTTACCATATCGTATCTATTCTCCCTGATTTAACTTTGTGATAAAAGAGACGAATAATCAATCTTCTTTTTGACCTGGAGCAATTTACCGAAAATGTAAGAATGTAAAACGTATACGTTTCTTTCACATTTCTGGAACGAGGAGTTATTATTATTTACAGCGGACCCATCTTTATCATTATCCCCACATCGTTTCGGATGTTGTGGCGTCCGGCCCGTTTCCTCTGTTGGGTTAGGAAACCTTTAGGGAATTTCGAAGTGAACACTTCATTCAGACTACGGGAATAGATTGTTCTCGTTCCTCTGTGTATATCTAGGAAACTTTTCTTTTCTTCTTTTTAGTCGTGCTCCTATTTCCATTAAATATGTGTGATTGTAATATGTAGCGCAGGGATTGAACTCACAATTACTAACCTAGTGTATTAAAGCATTGTTTTATGAAGTTGGTGTCATAGAAATTGTTCCGCCGTGAAACTACCAAATACTAACGGTCCTAAAATCCATGCAAACAGTAGTGTTAGTAGAAGAAATAGCAATGAGAGGTTCTATGGAAATTCTATGGTGCAGCAATACTATTTTAAAAGAGAATAAATACAAATAAATTTATATGGTTTATTAATTCCGCAAATAGATGTAATGGATATCGGCGTGGAAAGTGGAATGGGCGAGGCGAGTTCAAATTCCGGGTTGAGCTCACTTTCGCGTAAATGCTCTTGGTAAAGATACAAACCCATTCATTCTTCCCCAGCTATGGATTAAATAGTAAGGTAGACGGGGATCTCTAATCTTTGATGACAACCAGTTTAAGAGAAGGAAAACTCCGAATTCCAAACTGCAGTGTAGGCAAAGGGAGAACACGTCACTCTCTATCTTAAGAACACATGACAATTCACAGATAATAAAGGAAAAAAGGAAAGGAATCTGTGCCGAGCCATGATCGCTCACGCCCTGAAAAATCCTGTTATTATAGAAAATGCAGATAAAGAAATCATTATTTAAATGAGAAAACAATATTAACTTTGTTTTTCTTGAAATTCATGAAACATATTTCCTTTTGAATTTTTCTTTTTACCTTGTCTACTCTGCTAGATTATATATAAACCCTTCTGTGAAATAAATGATATTTAGTTTTCAGTAGATAAATACTTGATCTGCAAATTACTTAATAATGAATAATAAAAAAAAACTGATAAAGGTCGGAAGGCACAGTGGTCGAAACGTAGTATTAACAAAGATAAGGAAAATATTCATTAGAATAATGATAATACCTAACTCCGAAATTCAGACAAATTACTTAGTATTTTTTTAGTAAGATCGATTCTAACGTAAGACCACATTAATGAAACACTCAGTATGTAATGAATTCATTTGAAAAACGTTTATGTGACTAATTAATTAGCGATAGTGATAATAAGTTATAATAATAATAGTTTCGAACAACGAAAGCTAATAATAAATCATTTAATGTCTGTGAAAGCCATAATTCCTGCTTAAGTTGAACAGAAACAACTAAATCACACTGCGTATCAGATTGTTGGGTTCAGTCAGCGTAACGAATAACAGTTATGACCAGAAGAAAAGTAAATTACATGCAAGAAAAGAAAGAAACAAAAATACGAACAGAATGAAGTGGATTCAATGGGGCTGGTTCAAAATTATTAACATTTAACAAAACCCTTTATGGTATGACTAAATAAATGCGTAGTGATTGATTGCCTAAGTGGAACGTAACAGGAAGAAGGCCAATCATTAATGCTTAATATTAGCGCCGATCTATTTTGGAAAAAATTACTTTTAACTAGTTGTATTAATCAAGATCATAAACTCCTTGGTAACCAATTTTTAATACATGTTGATATATGAAAATATCGCCAATTTTACAAGTAGCCGAAATAAACGATTACATGCATGAGATATAGGTACTTTGGAATATAAATAACCAACAATACTTAAATACTTGCATATTATAAATATTTGGATGGCCATATGGTACGTTAGTGTTCTGTTCATGATATCCAGTTTCGAATCTCACTATGATCGTTGTGTAACATTCTTGATAATATTGACCAAAGGAGACAATCCCAGTGTGCATCACCGTTAGGAAAAACGGAAAACTATTCCATGGATCGGTTCAAGCCTTGTGAGTAAACTTATGAGTCTGGAGGTTGTCGATGTGTGTAGGAGAGCAAAGACACAAATCCACAACTAATTGGTAGAGAGAAGCACTTTCGCCATTATTGTCAAGTTATCTGAAAATAGTGTCCTGATAAAAGCACGGGTCCCCTAGCAGTCTGGGATGTATTTTGGGGATGTATTGGCCTATAAAAGAATAGTATGAACTGAACATGTATAGAAAATGGAAACAAAAAGGACACTCATACTCAAAAGCAAAAAGATACAGTTAAAATTTCTAAGGCACATTATGAGAAAATAAATCTTGGAAAACCTGATACTGAAGGCAAGAGGGACACACACTTATTTACGATCCATCGCTAAAGATGTAGATAAAATGGTCGCTAACAATACCGCTCCAGATTGCCTTTATAAGAGTTACAGATCAAACCCAAAAATGGAGTAGTTGTCATATTTGGCCGAGAGCTGACCTTCCTTTCCAGTCTCGATAGAGTTCAAAAGGGTCTCCGAGTTCTTTGTGGTGACGAATTATTCTCCGCCCTCTAACCTTTCTCTCACAGGCCAGTTGTAGTAAGTCCCTCGCTGCTCTACCGCAACTTCCATAGAAAGTGCTCAGACGAACTGCATTCCTTGGTTCCGCAAGGTTTAACCTTCACGGCTAGGATCGCCCTATGCCACTTATATTTTAGCAAATCACACACTTTCTCTCCGTATTCTATCGAACAGCATTTCTCTGCGAACCACTGCTTTGTCGAACCGACACCCAAAAGGATGTTCCCGATCACGATAATCTTAACCTGTACAAGTATAGGGGTAACTGTTATATCCTCCTCCTATGCGTATAAACTGCCTCTTAATGTAACCTTCTACCGCGAGTGGGCCGGGCCTTGTACAGCATGAACCTTACTGTAAAAATAAGAAAGAAGCGAAACAAGACTGATCGCAAAATACTTTACTCATACAGTGTAAATATTACGCTTTTTGGATCTTACTAAAAACGTCCATGATTTTAGGAAGAAAATGTAATAGTTACACACATACACACACACACACATATATATATATATATATATATATATATATATATATATATATATATATATATATATATATTGTGTATGTCTGTGCTTTGTTAAAAGTGCCCAGTTGTATTAAATTGTTATTGATTTTTCACCTATGTGAATAACAGATTTCTTTTGTTGGATTATTATAAAAATATTTCAAATGAGTGTTCGTTACAAGCGCAACAAAAATCCTTTTCAATGATTTTTTGTTGCCCTATTGAAAATGACAGGTGCTACTGTAGACATTCTAAATGTCGCTGAAAATAGATAGTCTTAATTTCAGAATATGTTCAATAATGTAATGGCTGGACACCCCTGCCAGTCCCTATTGCACATTTGTGTTTGTTCAGCAGATCTCATCTGTTGTCTATATAGCCTCTATGCTAAGCGGACCTTAGTTACAGTTTCTTGGAGAGTATCTGGTGTGATCAAGGCCAGTACGCCCAAACCCTCGGCCACGATGCGACTTCATGTGAGTTGTCTTCGAATAGTTACGCCTACCCAATTTCGTTCAACCCGTTGTATGGTTTTCAGGCACTTTCCAATGGTGCCGCACGCTGGAATTGCTTCTACAGTCCGATAACATCAAGTCACTTTCCTGACAAATCGACCATAGTGAGAATCGAACCTGGGTCTCATGATCGGAAAGCTAACGTTCTAACCATACGTTCTAACCATACGTCTAGTATTTTGTAATGTTCATAGTTGATTTTAAGCGTTGTTTTTCGTTTGTTTTGTTCCTTATGATTGTTGAGAATTACGTTTCGCGTGTGGGAAAAAATCAATAAATAAAATACATATTAAAAAAAAAATCTCATCACTTTAGATATAATAAAAAATAAACCAATCTGTCACGTTTGTAAAAACGCTGATGGAACTATTGACTTTCTACGTGCTTTACTGTAACCCCAAATGAATTTCAATATAGACATGTTAGGTAGGGAAATATTTGCATTGGAAGAAAAATGCTATAAACACAAACCGCCACCAATGCTAGTAGTCGAAAATATTCCAGTGCCCCGGGTCTTCAACATGCATGTCGACCGCAGAAGACAAGTTATAAGAAAAGACATAGACGAATGGGATATTGTATTAAACAAGTACATGTTTCTATAGCCTGTGTAGTTTGGCTTCATTAATAAAATACGTAAAACACTAAACACAAAAAAATTATTTTATCAATATTCCTAAATACATTAACAAATAATAAAACTAAATTTTTAATAAGAATAAAAACCAAAGGCTGAGACATATGCGATATGAAGAAAAGTAAATATGTTTTTACAGTGATGGTCATCCTGTACAAATATCAAGAGCCACTAGAAAGAAAAGCTTATAAAGTAAAGAGGTACAATTTATGTGAATATGGGGAGAAGATAAGGTTTAACTTTAGACTTGAATATGTTCAGACTTTAGTGATTGAGGAAGCATCCTATTGGGAGTCGTTTCCTCAAAGCAGAGGTTCGTGTGATGAAGTTTCTCGAGTAATACTTACATATCACTAAAGGAATACAAAGAGAATGATGGTGGTGCACAACAACGTGCATGGTATAGCCAGTCTTAGCCATGAAGGTTATAACTGGTGGAGCTAATGAATTTAGTTCGTCTGGAAATAACATTACTAGTAACGACTAGTTAATACCAATTCTCTTGTCAAAACAACGACTTGCATAATAAAAGCCGGTCATTCAGTATTATTCAATCCTTAGTAATGAATATATAATGTACTAATGTCGTATGTATTAATTAGTAATATAAGTTCATTTTCAAACTAAAATCAGAAATTAATTTCAAGTGGTTTCAACCCATTAATTCTACTTAGTACTGATGCCTACGAATCTATGATACGGGCCTTAAAATTTTACTACATCTCAGTTGTCATAATTTTATTGTAACCTAATAATGGATCATATGCAATATAAGTGAACAATTCGATTAGAAAAATTAAAAATAAATACAAAGTATCTAAACACAAATTAGAGAGATGTCATAGATCATTCCATCATAAATAAATCAACAATATTTTGCGGCAATCTTTAACATCAATTTAAGATTTTTCTTGTTAAAAGACTGAATAATTTAACACATTTGACTTTAAAAATAAAAATAGTGAATTTTATATAGTACTTTTTCGAGATTTAGCATGAGCAAAACAAATTCACGGAATTAAGGGGGAAAAATGCCATCAAAACAGGCGAAAATTTGTCATCCTTTAATAGTCCTTTAATTTGTAACGTATATAAATGTAAATAGAAAAAAGAATATGTTGATAAGATAGCGAGTGTCACAAAGCATTGCCCGGAGCCCACAATCAGTTTTGGCCACCGCCTGTCTGGGGGTTCGGGCGTAGTACGCACCAGCCTTATATCTACTTAATTTGACGACATTAAAAAAAACAACGATATTTATTGCTCACTATATACGTTAGTTTATACATAGATTTTTATTTCATATAACAAATATTATTTTTCAGTATAATCTCCTCCCTTGTCTTTACATTTAATTCAGTGGGGGGATATCTATAGGACATTACTCAGCGAAAATTTCAAATTGAATAGGCATCTCGACTTCAGTCAGTTTCTCCCTGCCATTACGCGGCTTCCATTTGTCTTTTCTCCAAATATTTTCATGACATTTGTTCTAATGGGCTTTCCTCCTTGGTGCTTCAAATGCATGAATTTAAGCAATGCTACTAAATTGAAAAGTAGGTCTGACCGTTTTACGCAACCGCCAGTTCTATTCGAATAGGTTCTTTTCTCGTATTTCTCTTCCAGTTTTTGCTTCCCTGCCATCAACAATCTTCCAAAAATTATAAACAACGGCAATCGTCATCTTCGGTTTTCCTGAAGAATGTTCTTTTATGGTCCTTTCTCCCCATTTCTCACTAAACTTTTCTCATACTCTTTCACTACCAATAATCCCATGCATTATCGCCTTGTTTGGGATGAAACGATCAAAAAATGAAAAAAATAAATAAATAAATAATCTAAACAATTTATTATAGTATGAAATTATTGATCTGCCTTCATATATTTCTGTAATATGTATTCTTTTAGTTTCTTTCCTCTTTTTCTCTAATCTCTCTTTATTTTCTTTCGTCTTCTCTCTCTTTATTTTCTTTCGTCTCCTCTCTCTTTATTTTCTTTCGTCTCCTCTCTCTTTATTTTCTTTCGTCTTCTCTCTCTTAATTTTCTTTCGTCTTCTCTCTCTTTATTTTCTTTCGTCTCCTCTCTCTTTATTTTCTTTCGTCTCCTCTCTCTTTATTTTCTTTCGTCTCCTCTCTCTTAATTTTCTTTCGTCTTCTCTCTCTTTATTTTCTTTCGTCTCCTCTCTCTTTATTTTCTTTCGTCTCCTCTCTCTTTATTTTCTTTCGTCTCCTCTCTCTTTATTTTCTTTCGTCTTCTCTCTCTTAATTTTCTGCTATTTTCTTGCATCTTTTTCTCCTTTCTATATTTTATCTGATATTTTATTTCGTTTCTCTCTCTCTCTCGCTCTCTCTCTCTCTCTCTCTCTCTCTCTCTCATGTCATTTTGTTCTTCCATTACTTTTTTTTTATCAATTCGTGCATTTACTCCCAAATTCTTTTGCAACCGCATTTATCATTTTCGACTTAATTTCTTCCATTTTTAGATTTATTCCTAACCCCTATTCCACTTGTTCGTTTTCATATGAATACTTGAAAGGTAAAATATATGTATCAAATCCAATCTTATAATTACAAACGAAAAGAAGATTATTATTTCTTTGATTTGTATAAAACGCTTATATCCTACTTCGTTTGATGTTATCTAATCTATCTCCTACGTATGGATAATTCTTTATTGAGTTATGTAGAGATCATATATAACGGACACTTGTCAGAATCTTATAATATACTGATAGAAAAATTTTCTTTTAAATTTCAGTTCCAAATTTGACTAATATCTACAGGTGTCTTTTAACCAAAAGAATAGAATTTTACTTCATCGGCTTCAGTCACTTTCCTGTAGCTTCCCTGTGTCTTTTTTTTAAATAAATATTTCTAGAGTAATTGTTCTTATGAGCTTTCCGCTTTGTCACCTACACTTTATGAATATAAGCTCCATACTAACGCGGTGGCAAGCTCTCATCATTTTTCAGTTGGAATGGCTAGATGTAACTGTAAGTTCTATGCTAGCAGTTTATTCTCTCGCACTTCTCGCTAGTGGATTTCAACCTATTGCTTTCTAGTCAACTTTGATATTCGAAAATTTAAATGCAATGTCAATCATTAACTTCTGTTTTCTTAATTTCTGTTCGTTTATTGTTCTTTCTCCTTAATAATGTTCTCTTTTCCTCATATTACGTCATGCTTGGGAAAAAGTGATTTTTAAAAAATCGGTCTATTTTTTAAATTTTTTGAGTGTGAAAGGATATGAGAAAAAGAAAACATTTACTTTGCAGAGTAAATTTCCTTTAATGTTTCTTTTTATTAATTAGTATTTTTGTAAGAAGTATATTTCGTGAAAACAGAGTTGATTACTTTGAATCTATAGGTTTACAAATATAAAACTGAGACAGATTTTCGATTGGTATGAGTTTTATTTTATTTAATTTCAATTATATGATGGAACTGATGCTTTCAGCTGTAATAAACAGTTGAAACGTGAATTGATTTTGAATTTTGATGAACGATCGAACTAAACTTATTGCAGGTTAAAGATATAAAGTAATATTTGAATAATCACTTTATCTTTAACTGTGTCGTTTACTTTTCTATTTTTGAAAAAGAACTTTGCTGTCAAACTATGTGAATATATTGCTTGGCTTTATTTCTAAATAGTGTCAGAGAAATCCTAAAGAGAATAACCATGGAATGTATTCTTTGCAATATAAGACATATTCAATTCAAATGAAAGTAAAATCTTGTGAATTGCAACCAGGCTTTCTTTTAAGAGAAGGCAATTAAAAAGATTAATTGATGAATTTGATACTAAGTTAAAAAGAGGGTATGTGATGTGAGATTGCAAATGAGTCAGGTGAAAAGCTAAAAGGACACAAGTGTACAATTCTTTATCTTTAACATTTACGGTCAAGCATTGCCTCTAAAATGGAAATATTTCTTCTTCCAAACAAGGTTTTAATAAAAAAAGAAAAATAAATAGCCTTTTTCTAGTACTAGCGTTTAACAAAAGAACTTATATCAACTATTTGACAATTCAAAAAATCGGAAAAAAACATAAAGGATGGCTTAGTGGTTGAGCAAAGAGATGCGTAACAGTAGACCTGAGACTCCAACTCAAGTGGCAAATAAGCATGACAGAGAAAGTTCTTGGTTATTAGCACGCAACCGAGACATATGGAGGGATTTGATCAGATGTTCAGTTGCTTAGTCACCCTACCAGCACAGGCCGCAATGGGACTGATGAATATCAAAAAAAGATATTACATGAATGTGTGAATGTATGCCTATAAAGTTATAATGAATATTTCTACTTACAGTATTGTTAGGCTAACTTTCTTTCCTCTTCACTAATTAGTCTCCACCGCACTTGAGGGTCTATGTGACACATAACAGCCAGTCAGTAAAACTTAAATGTCAGTTATGGGATAGACAGCGCGAAAAGAAAATATTTTCCTGGCGCACTAGTAAGATATAAACATTGGAAACGTGACATGCCGGACTTGTGAGTAAAGACCGCTTTTGTTACATCTACTAGCTTTCATTTTTAAGGTCGGAGAGAAGGCGTGCAAAATATTTCTAAGTTTTTATAGAAAAATAAAACCTTTCTTTACTTTCTTCTGACTTCTCCTTTGTTGTCATTATTTCTTTATTTGTCGCACACAAGGGCTCGGAGACGTTTTTGAACACTGTCAAGGTTGGAGAGTTAGGTCTGGGCAGAACCCGCCTAAATATGAGAACAGTACTCCATTTCTGGTCTGATCTTGTAAAGGCAGAGGATAGTAGAAGTCAGGAACTTATTGGAGCGGTACAGAGAGCCGAGTATTTTACCTGCATCCTTAGCAATGGATCATATGTACGAGTTCCACTTCAGATCGAGTGTGAGTTTAAGGCCCAACTCTCTTCTAAATGTGACATGGTCCTCTTTATTTATATTAAAATTAATTAAATTGAATTGCATTAATCATTTGAGGTAATGAAATTAAATATAAACCCCCAGTCTAAAATTTAATATTTCATCTTTCATTCTTTCTTTCTATTGCTTCAAAATTGGATAATATTAAGAACTCGCAAACATCAGGTGATCAAAAAATTAGGTCACAACCAAATGGCCTTGACCGCTTTTGAATTAGTTCAACGGTTCGATTTGAATTCATATATAGCGTTCAACAGCCGGACGTAGCACTCAACGTTACTTGTATCCCCGCAGTAATTCGTCAGAAGAATCGTAGCCGTTACACCGAGAAGACGTGCAAATGTTTATTTCGTTCAACGTGAACTGGCTCTCACGTAAAATTGTCTTCAGTTCTTCTAGAGAGGAAAAGTTAGAAGCTTCCGTGATCATCAGGAACTCAAAAGCCAAGATGGACTGTATCCTCCATGAATGAAAATCAAAGCTCTTTCAGGACGATAAACAAACACATAAACAACACTTATCGAACGAAATATTTCTACATATAACGGGAAACAACTTAGCCAAGATAAAACATGATTTGTCTACCTTGAACTATTTATAAAAAGAAAAGAAAAAAAATGATCAAAAATCATAGAAAAAATATAAGATTATTCGACAGATAGGTAAACCATTGAATATTTCTCTTATGAATTTTTTTTATAATTTCTTTCTATTCTCTTATTCTTTCTTTATCGTTTCCTTCTTCTCTCATTCTATATAATTATTATATTAAAATAAGTATAACTTTACATCTCGTGTTTGTTCTCTATACATTATTTGTGCCTGTATTTGTAATCTACTAAAAATTATATACTAATAGAAAATATATATTAGCCAAACTAACCGCATTTGTTACCTGCGATATTAAAATAATAGTTTTAAAATACTAGAGACAAATAAAATATGCAAATAAAAATAACAAACTTGCATTTCCATATTCACTGTATTTTATGGGGATTATATTATTATTTATTTTATTAATACATAAGATCTCTAACTTTTAAATTAAAAATGCATAGGTTACATGAGATGTCCTTGCTTTTACTAAATTCACCGAATTCTTATACAAGCTGGAGAATTGCCGTTTACCACACACACACACACACACACACACACACACACCTATATATATATATATATATATATATATATATATATATATATATATATATAAGACATTTTATTTATATATTCTTTTTATAGATACAAATATTTAAGTAATGTTTGTTTATAATAAACAGTATTAATAACATTTACCGGCCTGAATGTTATTAATACTGTTTATTATAAACAGAGCATTTACTTAAATATTTGTATCTATAAAAAGAATGAATAAACATAAAATGTCTTAGAAATAATTTTCGGACTTTGTCCATTTCATTATATATATATATATATATATATATATATATATATATATATATATATATATATATATATATATGTATGTATGTGTGTGTGTCTTCCTGAGAATAATGACACACAAGTTTTTTCACGCAATCATCTGGCTGTCGGCTAGCACAAAATATTGAAGTGTACATAAAATGCACACACCATCTATAATCACCAATGGGCGGGGGATAATACTGAACATCACAATTACTTTGGTGGCGTGGAGTACCCTAGAAAAAGATAACCCAACAGAGTCCCTAGAATGTCTTCGATAGTTTTGGAAACAGTATGGTTCCCAATAAAGGAGCATAACTCTAAAAACAAAATACTGCTTAACAATACACCACACTAAAGAACCCTCATATATAAGAGCATATAATTTAGGTAATGTACAAAGTAAGTTATTCTTAAGGGAATATGCTACCAAGGCACGCCGGAGGAAAAGATCTCAATGCCGTATTTAATGGCAGAGTATCAAAATACACACACATATACATACTTACATATATATATATAGAGAGAGATAGAGAGATAATATTAGTGGTAAACATAGACATACATATCGTTATATTTATTCTTTATATGTTTATATTTGATTTGTAACCTGTAGTCGATATTAATTTTGTCAAATTTTCTCAATTACACAGCAGCCCTTTCAGTAAATGTCCTTCAATTTTAGTTTCCCCCGCCCCATCTCTCTCCCCCACCTTATCTTTCCTTTTCTCTCCCTCCCTCTTATTCTGATCATTAACATTAGATCGTCTATGGTGTGTGTATGTCACCACGAAATGTATCTTTAATGTATTAGACATCCGACAACATTCATATTTCCCCCTTCCACTCACCTCTAGTAAAAAAAACTCTTTGTTAAGTTTTAATCTCCACCTTCTCTCATCTGTTACATATATATATATATATATATATATATATATATATATATATATATATATGTATGTATGTATGCGTGCGTGTGTGTCAATGGGCGGCAACCTTTCTAAAATAAGGGTAATTCCCAATTGTCATCGAGCATTTACGTCATCCATAGAAACATTATATATATATATATATATATATATATATATATATATATATATAAGTTGTATGGATATGAATTTGTGACAAACTGGTTTATATTTTAATATTGGATCTATTTATGCTGTTTGACTAAGTTTGGTGGCGGGTTGCGGAATCTACTT